CTCCGGGGCAAGGGTAGTCTCTTTGCTCTTCCCCTGCTCAGGGCTTGAACCACAGGAAAGCTCAGTTCCCTTTTAGAGATGCTCCAGCCTATCATTGACAAGGAGCTCAATGGGGCCTGGAGGGAACCAAGGGCCCCCCACCACGTGTGCTCATGCACACACACAAATGCACATAGGCACACATGCACAAGTACGCAGAGCACAGGTTCACAGACAGACCCAGGTAAACACAGACATAGGGGCACAGGGCACAGGCATATGGGCTCAGAAGGGACACGCAGGTGTGCAGACGGGCGCATAGGAGCGCAGCATCCTGAAAGTGGCACGGACGTGGGGCCACTGCCTCCCCCAGGGCACCAGCCTCCCTGGGTGCCATGGGCTCCAGGAGTTAAGATTGGCTTGGCCCGAGCTCAAGGCTGCAGGGCAGGGGGAAAGGGAAAGGGAACAGCGGTCCTGCCCCCCAGGACAGGCCCTTCTTCAGTCCTTCCTTCCCTCTCAGTTTCCACAAACTCTCCCTCCAGGAAGTCCTCCCTCATCATGCCCGCCCTCCCTCCCAGTGCTAGGACAGGAGGCTGCCCCCAAAGGGGATCCTGGCTGAATTCCACCTTGATCTTTCCCCTTGGGCCCCTTCTCACATGAGAGAGGAGGGCTGTATCCGCCCAGTCACAGCTCAGAGCTTTTAGGATTGAGGTTCCTCCCTTTTCCCAGCCCTAGGCCTGACTTGCCTCCAAATCACGGTTCAAATGTCCCTTCCCAGTGACCCTTGGCACTTCCCTTTCCCAGGCACCAGGGAGATAAAACGCAGCACTGGCCAGTTCATCCAATCCTCGGGACAGCCCTGCTGGGCTCTGTGTTCTCACACCCCTTTTACGGATGAGGAACCATGGCCCGGAGAGACAAGGCGAGATTCCCAGGACCGTTAAGCCCTTCTTTCCTTTCCTTGAAATCATGTTCCCAGCCACACCCCCCTGTGGAGGGACCACTGGCTTCTAAGGGTAGCTGGGAGGAGGCTTCAGGTGGAGTGTGGGTGGAAGCTCTGACATAGGCGCCCTGCCCCTCCACAGCACCCACCCGTTTGCACCTGACTTGGAGGCAGCTCCGAGTGCTGAGGCTGGCTCCTTTATCGTGGGATTTGGAGCAAGTCACTGAGCCTCAGTGTCCCCACCTGTGATATGAAGGGACCTGGATATCACAACCCTCAGGATCTGTTCTGTATAGACCCTGCAAGACTGCAGAGTAGGGACGGGTGTTGGGAAGGGAGACCGTTCGGGGTACAGGAGCTGTTCTGCACAGGCAGGGCTGGGAGCAGAGAACAAGGCCCTGCCTGGTGACCCAGAGCTGGCTGCCAGGCTCCTCCAGGCCCAGTCTTCCAAGGCAGTCACCCTCTGACCCTTCTACCTTCCCCCGCACGAGAGCTGGTCTGAGCGGAGAAAAGTCACAAAGTACCCAACACGAGAAGCAGTGGAGGGAAAGCAAGCCAGGGTGGGTATGCATAGCACATGCAAAGCTGATGCAAACACTTGAGGCAAACACCTGAGTTAAACACCTGAGTTTCAGCCCCTTGACTCCTAACCTCTGCCTGTTCCCCCCAAGTCCACTCCCTATCCCCCCCTAAGTCCAATACCTCCCCAAGTCCTGCTGATCCCTCTTGGCTCCCCATTAGGGCACTCCAGTCCTTCACACAGCTGCCTAAGAAATAGCTAAGGACTCCCTGGGACCTAGGGGATCAAACCTCCTATGCAGAAAGCTTTTCTCATCTTGGCCTCAATCACCTTCCTGGCCTACCCCTGCTCCCCCCAGGGAAACAACAGCCCCCTGGAGAGTCCCTGCCCCAGGACTTCTACTGAATAACCCTGAGCCCCGACATAGCAAGTTCACTCTGCAAGAGATGCCTTCCCACTTGTCTCTGCTTGGTGAACTCCTACAGATCCTGCAACACCCAGTGGGAATGCTGTGGTTCAGTGAACTGGCTTCTGTAGCAGGAGCCAGTGACTTCAAAATCACTGTGACTTTTGACCACATATACAACTACCACTTACATTTGATGCCTGTTCTAGACGGTTCCCATGCTTTGACTCATCTAATTCTAACAACAGGGGCAGACTGTATTTCAAAACACATTTCCCTTCCCTCTGGCTCTTCTTATAATGTAGCTCTGACACTCTTCTCATGCACAGGTAGGGTCCGTGTTCCCTCCACTGGAATCTGGGGTTGGGGACGAACGGCTGAAGTAACACCACGAGACTTCCAAGGCCAGGCCATCATCTGGTGACGCAGCCTCCGCCTCATTCCCTGGAGCATGCCTGCTGGAGCCCCAGCCACTGTGCATGCGGTTGACTGCTCTGAGGAGCCGTACTGTGGGGAAGCCTAGGCGGCCCACAGAGAGCAGCGAGGCCCCGGGACTGCACAGAGAGCACGAGGGACCCAATCAGCCGCCGGCTCCCTGCCACTCCAGCTACCATCCATCCATCCGACTGTTTCCACGCAGGACGCCCTGAGCCAGAACCACTCAGCCGAGCCCAGCTTAAATTCCTTTTCTGTAGAAACTCCAGATAATAAAGTGATTGTTCTTACAGAAAAACACTAAGTTTCAGGGTGATTTGTTATGTAACGATAGTAACTGGAACCTCATTATCCCCAATTTAGAGAAGAATCTGAGGCCCAGAGAGGCCAAGCAACTTGCCCAAGGTCACAGAGCTAGTAACTATCAGGGCCAGGATTCGAACCCAGGCAATGTTGTCCCAGAATCCACACTATTCACTAGGATGCCTTACTAACTGCCTTTGAGGTATCCCTGGCCTCCAGGCCCACAGCAGGCCTCAGGGAGTGGTTCAGAATAAATGACCGAGGGAAGGAATAAGCAAATGAAAACTGAATGGGCTTGAGTTGAGAACGACCTCCCAGGGGCAGTGCAGGGAACTCAGACAAGGCTGCACAATGCATATGAGCTTGACCTGAGGTCCCCATCACTGGGGCAGCCCCACTGTCCACAGCCACGGGAGAGGGTGAGGATCAGAGGTGCCTGGCAGATACCACCTGCCTCTGTTCATCAGAGATGAGCCTCAGAGGCTCACCTCCCTGTTCCCTGCCTCCCGCAACTCCACGTGCTGCAGGATTAGACACAGCCCCTGGGGAGCCAGTCCCTGCTAAGGACTAGACCTGTGGGTCCTGGGGACTGCACCAGGGAGGGCCCTGGGCAGGAAGGCTGGAGGTCTGGGTTAATCCTGGCACAGCCAGTGTCTGTGTGAATGTGGGCAAGTCCCTGCCCCTCTCCAGGTCTGTGTGCTCTTCAGCTCCACTGTTCGAAGACTCACCAGATGCTGAGCTGGCCTTCGGGATAGGGGTCCAATAATCCACAGTCCTACAACCCCCCAAAGGGATCTGTCCCTAGAAGGAAAGTGGACAATGGGAATAAATCCTACCTACCACTCCCTGGGAGCTTGCTATGCACCAGGCGCTTTTAAATGCACAATTTCCAATCCTTGCCAGCAACCCCATTATGCACAGTAGCGAGTGACGAGGGACCCAGACTCACAGCTCAAGTGAAACCAGAAGCCAGGGCTGCAGCCCAGGCCTGTTCAACGTCCAAGCCTCTGCCCCTTTCACAACAGCAAGCAGTAGAGGCGACCCGAATGCCCAACAACAAAGAAATGGATAAACAAAATCTGGCATATGCACACAATGGAATATCTTTTGGAAGATTTTTGATGGTATTTTTTTTTCCATTAAACTCAATGGAATATTGTTCAACCATAAAAAGAAGGAAATCTTGTCACATGCTACAACCACGGAGCCGACACGGGTGAGCCTGGAGGACATTGTGCTGAGTGAAATAAGCCAGTTGCAAGAGGACAAATACTGCGTGAATCTCCATGTACGAGGCATCTGAAGCGGTCAAATTCACAGACACAGAGAGTAGAGTGGTGGTTGCCAGGGGGTGGCGGGGGGTGGAGGAATTGCTGTTTAATGGGTATAGAGTTTCTCTTTTTTTTTAATTGATTTTTTAGAGGGAGAGAAAGAAAGAAACATCAGTTTGTTGTTTCACTTATTTACACATTCACTGGTGGGTTCCTGCATGAGTGCTGACGGGAGAAGGAGCCTGGGACCTTGGCCTGCAGAGACGGCACCGTAACCAGCTGAGCCACCCGGCCGGGGCTAGAGTTTCAGTTTTGAGAAGTGAAAAAGTTCTGTGGACTTTTGTGAAACAACGTGAACATAGTTAACACTACTGAGCTGTACGCACAAAAATGTTTATGGTGGTATACTTTGTGTGCTTTTCACCAGTTTTTTAAAAGTCCCATTCTTGGGGTGGAGAGAGATTAGCAGGGGCCCTGGGGAGCGGAGTCCAAGCAGCATCACTGCACGGAGAGCACTAGAGCTGGGCGGGATCTGGGCGGGTCCAGGTGAGTCAGGGGCACTGCAGACAGAGGCCCCGGCCTTTGGCCCCTGCCGCTTCCCCCAGGACCTGGCTGACTCCGGCCCAAAGCCAGCCCACCACAGGCCCTCCAGACCCCCCACACAAGAGCAGTGCCCCGCAGGGGAACAGGCACGGGCCTGGAAGAAGGGGTTCCTTGAACACCTACTATGGTTCCCAGACTCACTTAGCGTGAGAGCTTGGGTCGGTCCCTGTCCTTCTGGGACCTCAGCCTCCCCTATGGACAACCAGAACCCCTTTCCATTCCCACACTGGGAATAATCTCTGAGTGGAAGGGAGGAGGGAGGCAGCAGAGAGGGGGACCAGGAGTCAGGAGCGGCGGCCTGTGACCCTGCCCCAAGCAGTCTCTGCCCACCTCACTGAGGAGGTTTGGTTTCATTCCAACTCAGCAAACAGGTTCCTGTACTTGCTATGTCTGCGAAAGCATCATAATTCCTCCTCCCAGCCTGACCTGTTCTCCTGCTCCAGGCTGCCCAGTGTGGAGCGGACTCTCACGTGAGGCATGGTGTACGCAGTGACCAAGTCCTCCACAGCCAGTGCTCTCTCCAAGAATCCCGACTCTCACCTCTTCCCCTGAGTCAGGAATTGTTGTCCCCACGAGGAATGAGGTGGGTCAGTCCTTGGTTCCAATACCAGCTCTGCCAAGTACTAGCTGGGTCTCAGTGTTCACATCTTCGTCGTGGGAATACTGGCAGCTCCCACAGCGTCCTGGTGAGGCAAGGATGCGGAACACAGATCCCAGGGTCTGGAACAGAGTAGGCGCTCAGTGAGCGGCTGCCATCATGGGCTTTCTCCTCGAAGACAAAGCCATCTCCACCAATCTGTTTGCTCCTCTCAGAGGCCGCTGTGTCTGTCTGAACTCTTCCCAGAAGAGACACTCCCCCAGGAACGCTGGTGATGATCCCTAGCCAGCCACAGAGGGAAGGAGGGAGGAACGATGCGCCTTACTTGATGGAAAAAGTAAAATCATCATCACGTGGGAATGAGAGAGCAGTCCAGGGAAGCCTAGCAGTGCTCTCAACCCGAAGGACCCACAGTGCCCCCAGATCTTGCTTAATAAGCTACCTGGGGCCTGGCAGGGAGGCCTGATACGATCAGGCTGCTACTTAAATCACACAAAGCCTTCTATTCTTAGCTGAGCTGGGGCCGGTTCCTTCCCTGCAGCCGGTCGGTGCTACCAGCCCTAGCAGTGGGGGCCTGGTGGTCAGTCACGGCCACAAGAAGATGGCAGGCATCCCTGTGACCGGACTGAAGCCCGAGGTCCCCACAGGAGGCTGTGGAGTGAGCCCCTGGTTTCCAAGGGGTCTTCAGGGAGGCGGCCTGCGCTGGGTGGAGGACTGGATCAGATGACCCCCGAAGGTGACTTCCAAGTCTGATCTGGTTCCCAAAGTCTTGATTCCAAAGGGCCAATTTTCTAAGGTTCCATGATTCAATGCTTCCAAGGTTTGGAAATAGAAACATTCCATGGTTCTAAAGGATTGAGACTCCAAGATGCAGACAAAGACCTGAGGCTGAGCTCCAGTGCGTGCACCTCTCCTTCCCCTTCAGAAGCAGAGGGTGGCCGGCTCTGTCCTGACCCTGGGGCCCCCGGCACACACAGTGCAGGCAGACTCAGCAACGAGGTCAGCAACATGCCCCTGCCCTCCCCTGCACCCCGACCCAGCTGGATCTGTTGAGGCAAGAGTTCTTGGGAACTTCTGGGCATGGAGAGGAAACAGGGAAAGGAGGAGGAGACAGGCCAAAGTCGCCCCGAGGGCCAACACCAGACACAGCTGGGCAGGGCATCCCCTATCAGTGTTTGTCCTGTGACAGCAGGGCCAGCATATGTCGTCAGAGAGGCCCAGAGAGGCTGGCTGACCTGCCCAAGGTCAAGTCTGGGAGATGGAGGAGCCAGGGCGAGAACCCCAGGCCTGGCTGGCTTCAGAGGTCATTCTTCATGCTGCTTTGCTGTAGGGCACAGCTTCCTGGGACCGCCACTTCCAAACCTCTTTTAGATGCAAAACAGCAGTTCCTGGCCCAGAGAAAGGTCAGGTGCTCAAGGTCACAGGAATTGGTGGCAGAGCCAGACAGAACTGTTACCCCTGACTGTTCCCCATCCCCTGGCCAGGTCCCCACCAGTGACCCTTCTTTGGATCCCCCTTTTCCACCCACGTGGAACCAGGGCTCCCAGGGCAGGGCCATCTCCCGCTCCCTCAGCCCCCAGCACAGTGACTGCTCCACAGGGTCATCCAAGGGACAAGCCGAAAATCAGGAGATAGGACAGTGGGTCACAGACTCATGCCCAATGCTGGCCAGCTGAGTGCCACACGGTCTGGCAAGGGCTGACCTTGACACGTGTCAGGAACGTGCAAGTGGGCACTTGCCAGGAACACTCAGGGGCTAATTAGCCAGCTGTCCCATTAAGGAAGGCAAACGAGGCTCCACTCAACTGGCCTCACAGAGCCTGCTTGTCCCCTGCATGGGGAGCCCAGCCTTGGCTTCCTGAGCCACTGGCCTGCACCCCAGGCCTTCTGCCCCCCAGACTCCCCCAAGTACCTACTGTGTGTCAGTTGCTTTTCCCCCCAATAGTGTTATAGATAATTTCTCATCTGAATGTCACAGAGTTGTGAGTTGGTGTCCTTTACCTCCCTTTTACAGGTACAGGGAGAGCCAGGCCTTCCCTAGGCCACTGCCAACTCTGCAGAGCTGGGACTTGCACCCTGGGCTGCCTGGCTGCACGGTCCCAGCCTGGGCCCAGCTCCCGCACGCCCCAGGGATTTGGAGAATCCTCTGCTGGCGTCATAGGTTGAGAACGTATCTAAGCTGCACTGACCAAGGAGCTCAAAAGAAATTTCCTCTTTTCTGCTTACAGAGACCACAGGTCAAGTATCTAAAAACCCATTTTCTTTGCTCTGGGCTGGAATTAGATCCTCTCTGCAAATCGGTAGCCAACTATGTGTCCAGTGCCCTACTGGGTGTTCCCACCCACTGGAGTTTGACTTGACCTCACACCAGCCTTGTGAGGTTGGCCTAGGCTGAGCCTCAGAGTAGCCATGTCACAAATCCAAGGTTGCACAGGCATGGGGTGGAGCTGGGACAGGAGCCCAGGGATGGCAGGCCTTTTAAAGATGGTGGAGAATTGATGTTTACATGCACTGGGCCCAGTTCTCAACAGACTGGTTAAATTTACACTGACCCTCCATCATACCCTTCTCTCCGCCTGCTCCCTGCCCTCAGCCCTCCGCCTCCACGCTGACCCGGAGGGCACATCCATCTGCACTGCCTCCAGGTACCAGCCGAGCCCAGCTGTCTGCACCCAACCCCAGCCCTGGTGGGTCTAGGACACCATCTGGGAGCCACGCAGGAACAAGGGCATTGAGAGTGACCCATAGAACTCTGTCGGAAAAGATGCTAGGCATAGCCCAGCCCTGGACCCCTGCACCCACCCTGGGCAGGGCGGCTTTGACCAAGCACTGTGTGCATGACAGGCTGCAGGCCCCCAGAGCAGGTGCCCCAGGCCCTGCTGAAATAAAGTCACATCCACACCAGAAACTTGAGTCGCCCCGACTAATACCTCCTGGCACCAACTGGGAAGTGGAGCAGATGGAAGGGTGACAGCCTCATTCTGCCCCTCAGGCCCAATGTCCCCCCAACTCCCAGCTACGAGGGACACAGGACAGAGTCCCCTGCACAAGGGCAAGCCCTGTTGGGCCCTACCTGTGAGCACACAGACAAGATGGAGGGGGGGAGTTCCTGACACGTGCCCCCCATACTTCCCCAGAGGCCACATTTAATACTCTACAGGCCTCTGGGGTGCGGCTGGGAAAGGGGGTGGTGCCTGGTCCCAGGACCCAGCAGGTTGATTCTCTTCCTACTCAAATGCTCACAGACACAGGAGAGCAGACACACAGCCTGATCTGCATGTGCAACATGTACATAATTCATGGGCTCCTATCACTTTGGCTTGGATAAAATGAACCCAGCGGGAGAAGCCACATAGAAAATAGTAAGCAGCCACCAGGAAGCACTTTGGGGAAAAGGGTTAGTGGCCCTAGGCCTGGGGGGTTATGGGAATTGGACCAATAAATATAATTATCAACAAGAACTCTTCACATGCATGTGGGTAAGTCGGTTTACTACATGCTTCAAAATTTTATCTCAATCTTACAAAAGCTATTGTTCCCATTTTACAGATAGCAAACTGAGGCTCAGAGGTAAAGCAACTACCCATTTTCCCAGAGAAGGAAGAGCCAGAACTTCATACCCAGCACCAGGCTGCTGTATGCACAGTCCTCAACCTCAGCCTGGCCCACCGCCTTCTCCCCCAAATCACAGCTTGGGGCCTTAGAAGAGCCATAACAAGGGCACCAAGGCACTTCATCCTGAGCTCAGATGGCCAGCTGCTGAAAGAAGAAAGTAGAGCCAGTCTGACCACCACCCAGCAAATGGGCTGCCCCCGCCACAGCATCCACTGGGGCTGTCCAGTGGGCCAGGCGGCAGGGGTGGCGGGAACAGTCTGGTCTTTCCCCGCACACATGCACAAACTCCTGAGAGCCCTTCAGAGCTGAAAGGGATGTGCTAGCTGACCTGGCTCAGCCGTGAGCTTGAGGAACTCAAGGTCCAGAGAGGGAAAGGACTTATCCAAGTTCTCACAGTGGAAGAGTCTAGTCAGTCCACCAACCTACCAGTATGAGCCAGGTGCTGGGAACATTGGGATGAATGTGACACGGTCTGGCCTCCGAGACGCTTCCAGTCAGGTGTGCACCCACTCAGTCAGCGTCCGGACCCTAACGATCTGCCCCACCCAGCTTCCCCAGCTCATGTTCAAAGACATCCCCTTGCCCTCCCTCTGTCCCCATCACCCCAGGCTCCTTGCAGCATCCTAAGGATGTAACCCACCTGTTGTCACCTCTGTCCCTTTGTTCTGCTGTTGCTCTTCCAGCCCTGGCCAGAGCCTACTCACGCTCCAAACCTCCACTGCTGACCTCTGTCCTCTTTGTGAGCCTCACTCAAGTTTCCCTTCCCTCCCCTCCACACCCCCAGCTCAGGCTAACCCCAGGGGAAGTCTCCCTCCCCGCCCCCATCCTGAGCCTCCCCCCACTACTGACCTCCCTTACAACATCTGTGCCCTCTGCCAGGGTGATTGTTTCTGGAATGGTCTCACTCACTCACTCCCCTCAGGATCTGGGACTAAAGCTGCGCTGGACTGAGCAATGTGTCACACAGCCACCCACCACGAAGACCCAGAACGATTTAAACAATCACTCCTTCCTTTTAAGGGCTGTGTTTGTCATTCTTTAAACACCCTTGGTGGGCACGGGGGAATGGAATGGAAGGTTCTTAGTCAGACTCGTCCTGACATTTCCGAACACTGGCTCTGCGCCTGGCACTCAGTAGATGCCTGAGATTCGTTAGTGAAAGAATAAAAATATCTCCACCTTCCACGTTCCCCTGCTGCCTGGAATGCCACCGTTATCATCAGTTCTGTCCTGGGGCTGAGCTCCGCTCCCTGTGATCCTCTCAGACAGGCCTGGGTGAGCAACATGCTGCAGGGGGAGGCTTCTGTGTGCGAAATGTTAACACGAGGGTCTGTTAACTTCCCGAAGTGTTTCTGTAAACTATTAGTCCCGGACCACGTGCTCCACGGCCATGCAGCTGCGTGTTTTGGCAGCGTGGGGAAGGCCGGCTGCACGCTGCACCACCTGTCGGGGATCCCTAATTCACGTCGACATAGTCAGGGCCCCGAGGAGTCCTGTTGTGACTCATGTGCCTGAGCATTTCCAGACTCTGCATGCCCGTGCGTCCTGGGAACTGTCACCATCCCGGGGGACCGAGGCCCCTCAGAGCACAGTTGGGAGGCATACACTAAATGGTGTGTCCACTGCAGGACAAGGTATGGACATGACATGGTCTTTGTGGCTGGCACCGGCCAAGCCGCACTTCCTTGCACTAACCATTTTATAGAGGCAGAGGTCTGACCTAAGCCACCAACCATCCTTTGTGACAAGAGCAGAAGATGAATGGGGCATCATGTAGCTTGTAGACGGAGCACAGAAGAGGGAACAGGTAACGGGCCAGTCTGGAGACCTGAGCTCCCACCGCAGCCCTGTGCTTACTGCTGGCCTCATCCTGCTGACCTCTGCTTTCATCAGCTGCAAAACGGGGATAATGCTGTTTTCAGGGCTGTTGTGAAGATCCGGGGTGGTGATGCGAGCAGAGGCAGGCAACAAACTGCAAGTCCTGTACTGGAATTTGCTATGTCCATCCTTATTTCCCGGCCTGCCCTGCAGGAGGGTGCTGCCATGCCTTAATTGATCACAAGCCACTGCAGAGGTCCTTGATCAGGATGGATGGATATATGGATGGATGGATGGATATATGGATGAATGGATATATGAATGGATGGATGGATGGATGGATGAATGGATATATGAATGGATGGATGGATGAATGGATAGACGGATGCATGGATGGATGGATAGATGGGTGGACGGATGGATCCCTAGCAAGACCCAGGATCAACAAGGGCTGACTGAACAGGTATGAATGAATGGATAAACCAATTTTAACAAGCTCAACTGTCCCATTTCTTAGCCCTCAACTGATAGGGGCAGCAAATCAGAAAGGACACACACATACTCATGCACACAAGTAAGAAGGGAGAAGAAGGAGGTGCTGGGTTACAGGA